TGTAACCTGCCTTCTCATTGCACTTCAGATATCCAGATTCCTCACCCAGGCCTTCGAGGACCTTTGGGATCCTGCCCTGCTCCCCTTGCATGCCTGGCTTGAAGCTCTTCCCCTCCTAGCCTTGCTTTTCCCCTACCAGCCTTGCTCTTCTCCTCCCAGCCTCGCTCTGCTCCAGCCCCGCTCTCTGGTCTGGCCTCAGACATGCCCAAATTTCTGCCTCCAGGGACTTTGTGCATCAGGTATTTCTGTCTAGTACATTCTTTTCTTTTCTTTTCTTTTCTGTTTGTTTGTTTGTTTGTTTGTTTTGGCATGCAGCCATGCATTCCTCCCCTTTAGGTCTCAGCTTAACCCTTACCTGACCACCTGGTCTACACTGGCTTCCCACAAACCCTTCTGTATTGTCTCACTCCATATCAGTCTTTATTACAGCACCATTTTCGTTCTCTCCTGGGCCTTTATATTTGTCATGACTTCTTTACCTATCTCTGTGCCTCCTCACCTGACTAGAAACTCCATGGGAGCAGGTACTTCAGTCATCTGGGCCTTGCAGGAGACTCTGCTCTAAGCTGGTATTGCTGGCATTGCTAGATGCCCAGCTAGACCACATGTCCCAGCTTCCCTTGTGGCTGTGCTGCTGGGTGGCTAAGTCATCACCTGAAGAGCGGGAGAGGAAGTGATGTGTTTAGCTTCTGCCTCATTTGCTCAGAAGGCATTTCCCAGCCCTAGACATGTACCCGCTTTTCCCTCCTGAGGACAGGAGCATGGCAGTGCCCATGATCAGCCTGACTGTGCAGACAAGGACACACTCTGGAGGGTGGCAGAGCAACTGTATGGACAGACATGGGCCTAAATGACCACATGTGGCAGAGCTTCCCCCAGCCTGGACCATGTGCCTTGAAATGTTCCATGAGTGCAGAATAAACCTGTGTCTTTAAGCCACTATACTTGGTCTCTTTGTCATGTGGCTTAGCTTTCGGCCAGAAAGTCGAATCAATAGTTATTGAATGAATGACTGAATCATCAGAGGCTCGCCAATTTTACCTGGTGCCTTCACTACCATAGGGGTAAGAGGGGAGGTGGTCATCACCGGGAATCATTCACTGAGCCCCTGCCATGTACTGGAAAACACTCACCAGGAACTTTTCTGTACTGGTTGGGTGGGTATCTTCATCTTTTCCCATCTGAAAGCTCCCTGTGGCCTGAAGTGATGTCTCACTGCACTGTTGATGGATTTTTCTCTACCGTCCCAAAGAAACCAAACTTGAAAGAATGTCACGAAGCATGCAGCATGTAAGTCATGCTCTTCATGTAAAGATTCTAAGTTGTTCTATTGTGAAAGATGTTGTGTGAAACAGAAATGTGATCTTATAGACTGTGGCAGTTTGGGACCCACATTATAGCAGAGAGTTCTGCCCACTGAATAGTGCTACACTTACTTCCAAAGTTAATGTCTGCGACATTTCATACCTCAACTTCTAATGTTAGGTAAATTTTTCTGAAACTCTTGGTCCACAATGATGGGTGGTTTTGTTTGTTTATTAAACCTTTGGGGAGTATATTAGCTGGGAGTAATGATTTTTCTAAGAATTGCCAGTTATGGCTTTAATTTTGGGGAAAAATATTTCCTCCTTTGCAATGAACTTTTGTTCATTAGGTGCTGGTGTATTTTTCAGCTCTACTATATTTGACAAAAGACATTTAGTAAAGCTGTTCGGTTAATTTCTTACCTCCTCCCAGAGGTAGCATTTTAAAAGAAGATATCAGGGATGGGCACAGTGGCTCATACCTGTAATCCATAAGCCATTAGGTGGCTGAGGTGGGAGGATTGCTTGAGGCCAGGAGTTCGAGACCAGCATGGGCAACATATTGAGTCTCCATCATTAAAAATATAAAAAATAAAAAAATACAAAAGTAGCCAGGCATGGTGGCATGCGCCTGTAGTCCCAGTTGCTCAGGAGGCTGAGGCAGGAGGATCACTTGAGCTCAGGAGCTTGAGGTTGCAGTGAGCTAAGATGGAACCACTATGCTCTAGCTGGGTGATAGAGTGGAACCTTGTTTCTAAAAACAAACAAACAAAACAAGAATCCGAACAAAACTAGACTGGACTCAGGGGGCCAGTGCCTTTTCCAGCTTACTTTCTGCTATCTATCCTGCACTTAGACCCAGAGTTGCCAATAAATGAAAGAGAACATGCAGGATTATGCAAGAAATGTACAACATCGGATACTTTCAGTGACTTTTGTCAAAATTGAGACACCTCCCTTGACTTTAAATTTCATAAGTTCCTAAGTAAAGTCTAAAATCTTTACAGATGTATTGAAACAATACGCATATCATAAGCCCTACCATTTCCTGAGTTTGGCCAGATTGTGGGAAAATGTTTTGAGTCTACTTGAGTCATCAGGAAAGTGGCAGATGAGCTTCCTGTGGGTAAGAATAAGTCAATGCACTCAGGGAAAAATACTCTTAAACTCAAAATCAGGACACATGACTGATGAGGTTGACAATAGAAGGAATTATTTAAGATTGAGGCCTTGTTGGAAAATCCAGGAGGCATCCTTGCTAGACTTGCAGGCTGAGGGTTCTGAGTTATTGGTTATGACTGAATTTGTAAGAGTGGGGACGAGTTGTGGAGGCTGATTCCTGACCGGCCTGCGGGCTGCTACCTTGGCAAGGGTCATCTTTGTGCTATTTCTTGCCATCATTGTTAGCAGATGCAGCAGCTTTGGAGTCCACATGCGGACAAAACTTTACAGTCTACAAAACATATTAACATTCACAATCTCATTTGATTCTCAGATACAGGAATGGAGAAAAGATACTTTTCTTATAGCATCGTATCAATAAGAGACACAAAAGTTATTAACAAAATACAGCAAATTGAGTTCAGCAATAGATGGGATTTATCTCAAGAATATAAGATTCTTTAAACATTTGAAAATTAATTACTATAATTTAATAAGTTACAGTATATGGGGAACATATGTAATCATCTCAATATAGATAGAAAATGCATTTGGCAAAACTCAACACTCTCAGTAAACCAGGACCAGAAGGGGATTTCTTCAACCTGATATGAGGACAGCTATGAAAAATCTACAGGTAATATACTTAGTGGTAAAATGTTAAACCCTTTTCCTGTAAGAGTGGGAATAAGTCAAGGGTGTTCACTCTCAACACTTCTATTCAACATTGTACTGGAAGACCCAGCTAGTGCAATAAGGCAAGAAAAAAAGAGCATACAGATTGGAAAGGAAGAAGTAAAGGTGTCATTATTTGTAGATTGCATGACTATCTACATATTATTGCCATTACAAAGATGAGGAAAGTGAGGCTCAGAGAGATGAAGTGATTTGTATGAGCTCAGACAGGTGTGAAGGATGGCGCTGGCACTCAAACTTAGATCCCCTGACTCCAAACCCTGGAATAAAAGGAGTGACTATTTCATTCACTTAAACCTAAAGTTTCAGTTATGCTTCTTAAAGAAGATCCAGTGGCATTGGACGTTTTCCAGAGCAAATGAACTAAAACGAAAGTGGGAATGCAGAAGGCTTATCAGTACAGGACAGACTAACTGGCTAGGCTTTTTAGCCTGAGCACAATAAAGTGTGGACAATATAGGACTAGGGTGACCATGGATCCATTCGCCAGCTCCTGAGATGGCAAAACTATTGATCTCAGTAAGTCAGGACTGGTAAAAATACTTCTCACAGTAACTTCAATATACTTATGAAACTCATTGTCAAGAGATGGTGCAGGATAGAAAAGGTTTAGAAAAAAAGATGTTGAGAGATTCATAACTAGGCTGACCATATCATTTATCATCATAACTGTGACTCATTTGAGAGAAAGAGGGTGCTATTAGTAACTGCCCTAGGTCAACAGGCATAAAGACTGTCCTGGGCAAATTAGGACATTTGGTCCACCAGCCTATGATAGATATAAAGGAGACTGGCATGTTTGGTGCTGGGGGGTGGAGAGGCACATCAATAACATCAGTTTTGTAGCATCTGTTCAGGCACTGGCCAGGCGACTCATGGTGAATGTCTTAGGGCCTGGAACCCCTACTAGGAAAGTCAGATCTTTGTTGCCCCTTCAGGTGTTCCTGGCCCTTGCTGCTAATTGTAATAAATAAGAACAATAGCGACCATGTGTTGAGCACTTATTACACGCCAGGCACTGAGAAGTGCTTTATGTGAACAACTTCATTCCACAATCCTAGAAGGAAGGCACTATTCCTATCTCCATTTTACAAGTGAGGAAACAGTGTGTCAGAGAGGTTGAGTAACTTTCCCAAGGTCACTCATCTGGGAAGTATTGGAGCTGAGATTTGAACCCAGACTCTCAGCCATGATGTTAACTAGTCTTTACCTTTTCTCTTTTGGGTTGCAGGCCAATTCAAGGACCCAGGTGTCTGGCATAGGATGAGTGTATGGTTAGATAGCACCAGAGTGGAAATAGGGGAACCTCAGTGACATCCCAGCCTCCATATCAGCCTTGAGCCCACACCAAGAGACACACAGAAGCACAGCGTGACTGCTGGTAACTGCTTAGAGTAGACATGACCCTGGTTTTTGGCCCAGAGCAGCGCCAGCTTCCAGAGCAAATCATGGAGTGAATTATCCAACAGCTTTGCTGTGTTTATTATTGCATCATTTTGCTGTGTGGACAGACAGGAATCTTGTCCCTCCAGATACCTGGGTAATGTTCCTATAACCACCCAGGTCATTTTTGGGCCAGGCAGCCCACATTCAATTCTTTTCATCTTTTTCCATCAGTCAATCCTTAATTATTTTTATTGCTTTTCTCTGAACTCTGTTCAATTTGCTGGCAAATCGCTTTTCGGGTAGTGAGATACCAGAAGTGTTCTTCAGAGAAATTATAATCTCCTGTGCATGATGTAATGCTTTGGCTTAGGAAGTTGAAAATCACAGCAGCAATTTCAGCTGCTATTGGTATCATAACCCGCGATCAATTTGGTCATCTCCAATTAACTTGACTTTTTTTTTTTTTTAAGTGAAGGTAAGTACCTGGCTCAAAGTCAATATGATTTATATCTGGACTATTCCAAGGATATGTATATATGTATGTGTGTGTGTATTAAAAGCAAAAAAAAAAAAAAAAAAAAGAAGAAGCAAGTTCAGGAAGCAAAAAAGAATGTCTGGTCTTTGCTCATTACTGATCACCCACAATGTGCCAGACCCCAGCTGCTAACTAAGCTCAAGAAGAATCTTATCTTGAAATGTTTAGGACATTTAAGATATTTTCTTCATTAAAAATTACTCTTGTTTTCCTTGAAACCCTTTAATAATTACATTTTTACTCTCATGTTCCTATTTGTAGATTGAGAGCTTTCTTTTCTAGTAACAGTGACCCGCTGTGACTCAGGTTACAACTATCTGTGGCTTGATTATTTCAAAGTTAATTATGCTTTGGCAGGAATAATTACATTAAGCAGGTTATATTAGAATACTCACCATGTACTATTCTTTTCTCATAAGTAAAAATGGAAGACTGAGTTAACTTGGAGTTGAAAAAAATTAATTTGAACAATTTGCCCTCCCTCAGATTTAAGCCACTTTGGTTACTTCTTTTTTCCAAGATGACTTGTTTTTTTCAAGTCTATTTGTCTTTAGAGCAGCTTTCTTTTCTTTTTCTTTTACCTTGTATTATTTGCACAAAGTTGGCTGTGTATTAGTTCCAAAATGATGGCATTGTCTCATGACAATCACAGATGCAGTTTTAAAGTTCTGTTATTTAGCACATAATAAAAAAAACACCAGGAACACAAAGCTTCTCCATGAGGGATGGTTCACTAGTGTACAGAGTTGAATCATGCAGAGCTGGATCTGGCCACCCGTCGTCTCTTGTCCAGATGATGGCTTTGAAATGGCCTCTCAGAAAGTCAGAGCTGACCTCAGGCCTGTCCACAGCCCCAGCAGCTGTTTCCTGCCTCCCAGTCATCTCATGATGGAATGCAGATCTAGTTGATGTTTTCAGCCCTACGGATCACTTCCTTTTGTAATTTAGACCCATGAAGGCCTTCTCAAATGGTTTTCTTCATGGTGTAAAAAGTCATTTTCTTCCAAGAATCTACCTATGTTTCAGAGTTGGCCTCATTTTCTGCAAGGTCAGCTTTACCTGGGGTTGGCAGAAAGATGATTTGGGACATGGATTTCATTAGTGCATTTTGTTTAAAAACGAATACAAGTCACGTTCTTAGGTGTGTGTCTTTAGTTGAAAACACCACCACCACCACCATCACCAAATGCTACCCTAAAAACTTCTCTGCAAAGTCATGACAATATCCTTTTCTTGCAACTCCCCTGACTTTGTGTCTTTCTGTAATATACAGTATAATTTATAAAAGTGTGAGCAACTGTGGAATTGTTCTCCTAATAGATTCTGAAGATTCCAATTTCCATTCTGCCACACAAGACTGAAAATCCACTTGTGCTCACTTATCTGTATCTGTACCTCATCCCCACGCTGCATCAAAAATCAGGTTCAGGTGCAGGTTAAGAGCACGCATTTACCTCCGGAATATGGGACTTATTAAATATCTCTCCACAATTAACATCACCATATCAATAAGAATTATCATTAGGTCCTGTCAATCAGGTGCTAAATTTTGCTTCAGGGAAACAAAACAATTTAAATTATAGCAAGTGCTCCCCTTCTTTTTTACTTGCTTCTCTTTAAATTGGATAATTATGTGGCTTTTCATTAGATTCCTCTAAGCATAATAGATCACGATATTCACCCTTTGACCTTGGTGATGAATGTCTCTGGTGAAAACATGTGACAAGCAGTGTTCTAATGAGAACAAAATACTGGATAACTGGAAATCTTGTATAATGAAAGGAGGAAGCAGGAGGGAAACATAACCTTTAAGGTTGATGCACAAAATATATTTGTAATGAGGCAATAATATGGGCTGGAGAGAAAAGGGGCTAGTTTTGTTTCTAATAATGTGGATGGAAATGATGATTTTTCTCCTTTGGAATGTGAAAAACAATGGAGAAACAGACATTTCAGGAAAGCTGTGCATCAGAAAATTCTGGTCTCGACTGAATTGTAAGCACAGATGGAGTGAATCTGCTGGCCTAAGGGGGGATTCACATGACTCACTGAGCCTTGGAACACCTGCACATGGCAGTCTGAGGGTACCTCTCATTGTATTGCTTTCTTTATGGGAGTTCCAAGTGTAAAGACAGCTTAAAAAGGAAACAGTTTGGTCTCAGGGGATCTATAATTGTATTGGGGCTGTCAAGAAAGGACAAGAGAGGAATGGAACACCCCCAAAACTTTCCAACCTCCCTCTCTTGGTCAGTCTGAACAACCTGCCCCGTTGGAGCTAGGATACCACCTACATCTTCAAAGTCCTCTTTCTCTGGTGTGAAGAGAGGTTGGGGCATCCTAAAGGTGGCCCTGGAATGTCACCAGAGGTCAAGGACAGGCCAACGACCTCTAGCTTCTTCTTCTTGGTTCCTCCCCCAAACCCCAGCACACCTGGATTTCGTGGATGGCTACTTATTGGGCTGACCCAGGGACAGCTTTGCTCCTTGTGGTGATGGATGGGGGATTTCCCATCAAATCAGCCCTTGGTACTGTGATTTGCTCTGGAGTCATGGAGACAGGTACTTTGCTTCTTTTAGATTTCCTAGATGCTTCTCTGTCCATTTAGGATATACAGCACAAGGGTAGCCCATTGTAAAGCCATTCATCGAGGGTATGGATTTGCTGTATCATCTAAGGACATGGGTTTGTGGCAGGAGCTACTTGTTAAATGCACAAACTAGGCTGTGCTTGTTTTAGAGTGGAAGAAAGAGAGCTGGAAACTACCACCTAGTAAGCACCCATTTTGTGCCAAGCACTCTCCCAGGCTCTTCATACGTGCTCTGTGATTGAATTCTCCCATCAAACCTTATCCTACTTTATGATTTGGAAAATGGCCCAACCTGACCAAGAATGACCTGAGAGCAAAGCTGGGATTTGACTACAGCTTGGCCTGACTCCTAAGAACATGTTCTGGAGGTTAAAGGTAGCACAGAATGTAACACTTTTACCCTCTCCCAAGAACCATGCCTTTACTGTAACATTATCCCCAGCTTACCTTTCCAGGTCTTGATGGAATCAATTTGGATTATTCGGACTTAATATTATTGCCATCAATCTTGCTAGTTGTACAGTTTATTTTGTTTAACAGAAGACATGTAAGAGAAGAAACAGCTGCCTCTATAAATTGATTTCTTCCGGTGAATTCCAGTTTGGGAGAAGAATTTGCAGTGAATGATGTATGTGCTTACAGTGGATTAAGAAACCGACCAGGCTCAAAACCATGGTTCCCTTTGTTTATCTGCAGATCTGTCCTGTTTAAGGCAAAATTCACCCTGGGCCTTCACCCCTGACCTCTACCAGGTGACTTTTCATGGAGACATTCTCACTGCCAGCAATCCTTCAACTCTTTCCACAGAAGGCTGCCAGGAAGAGAAATGTCCAAAGTCCATTTTGAGCTCTCAGCCTGGGATTTAGCTGCAATTTTTCATGGACACTGGGCAATTACTGGCATACGAAGCCAAGGAGAAGCAAGAGAGGGAAGGCTCTGCTTCTCTAGTGAGATCATCATCTTTCCATCAGTCACTGTTAGAGACGTATCTGGTTTCTGTGCCCAGCCTAACTGCACAGAAAAGATATCTTCTGGCTTCTCCCTAGTTACCCATATGCGGAGAAACTGAAAACAATGGGTATTCATGGTTGTTGTAAGTACTTGGGGGCTCTAGAAGGTGTCCCTAAGAACTCTATAAAGAGGGGCTGTCATTTCTCTGAGATTTAAACCTTTAGCACAAAATGGATCAGAGTGGAGGTGCTGGAAGTCATCCGAAGGAGCCAAAATAGTTTCCAAGCCCACACCCTCAATTGCAACTTGTTTGAACATTTTATTAGCAAATCTAAAGAAATAATGCTTTGATCAGAAAGGAGAGGGTTTACTCAGCATGGAAGCAGGACAAAAAAAGGGACTCAAAGGCAAATGTTAGCAGGGCCTGCCCAAACCTTGTCCAAAAGAGAAGGAGCTGAAGTCAATTGACTTGGGTAATTTCTAGGCCTCTTGAAAGATGCGTCTCCAATATGGCGACAGAAACCATAGATATCACATGCCTGTAATCAACAGATTTCAAGGATTCAGGTCCCGTTGGGAAGAACATCCCATCCTGTCATGGTGCCACTTAAACACTTAGTTTTCCTGTCTAAATTCAATGTTCACCACACCTTGTCTTCAGGTTGCCTTGTTGCCTTGTTGCTGCTGAACATTTGTCAACAGAAAGCAGACAGGATGATGACACTGTTGTAGACCATCTCTGATAGTGATTACTTATTAAAAATGTCAGTGCTGTGTTTTGATCTTATACATACATGCCTGTGCTTTTGAGGTGTACCCATGAAAAGTTGGGCCAATTCTCGTGAGTTGTCACCCTGCTGACAAATGCAGGGTGCTGAGCCTCTGACTTAGAGCTGAACACCAGCCCTGGACAGTGGCAGCACAGCAAGCTGGTGCCTGCTAAGGAGGCTCCCCATGGAAAAGCTGCTGCTGCTTCACCTCAGCATCTACCTTGACACAGTTGCTGTCCTGGAAGTGGTTTTTTATTACCATTTAACTAGTTTAAGTGAACAGTTTAGTGGCGTTAAGCACATTCACATTATTGTGCAACAGTCACCACCAGCCATCTCCACAACTTCCTCCGTCTCCAGAACATTCTCCCAAACTCTTCACCCATTCAATAACTCCTTGTTGTCCCCTCCCCATAGTTTCTGGTTGCCACCATTCTACGTCATCTATGAACTTGACTATTCCAGGTACTTCATGTAAGTGAAACCATACAATGTTTATCGGTTCGTGTGGGGTGTATTTCATGTTGCATAATGTCTTATGGTTCATCATGTCATGGCATGTGTCAGAATTTCCCTCTGTTTTAAGGTTGAGTAATACTTTGTTGTATGTATAAACCACATTTTGTTCATCTATTTACTGATGGACATTTAGATTATTTCCACCTTTTGGTTCTTGTGAATAATGCTGCTGTGATATGGGTATACAAATACCAGTTCAAGTCCCTGCTTTCCATTCTTTTGAGTATGAGAGAAAGCATTTTAAATCTCTACAGTAGTAATACTTGATTGTCTCATAGTGTGGTATGGTTTGTGGTGCCTGTAACATATTTATCTGGTTCTGTGAAGTAGATTGGTAGGTGGGTACACAGAGCTATTGCCTACATTTTGCTGAAGGAAAATTGAGATGTAAAGAGGTCAAGCGGGGAGCCTAGATCCAAAGCTGGCTTTCTAACCACCAGCCAAGGGCTCTCTTCACCACCAAGCCAACTCTCAGGGCAGCAGTGTGTACCTTATTAACCGCTGCACCCCAGGTCCTAGCACAGGGCTGGTCCATAACAGGCGCCCAATAAACACCTGTTGTGTGAACACCGCCCCCGGTGCCCCAGTAGCCAATAGCATGGGTGTTGCATGGATCACGGTGGAACATATTTGTTAATTTGGTTGAAGACCACTGTAAAGTTTCTGAGGGAGATCAGCTAGTTTCATGACTGGCTGATGGAGATCCACTGGATAGAGGTGATGATTTCATCCCTTTCATCCCAGTGAGCTCCACATTCCCTATTTTTGTGGCAAGTTCATTTGTGATTATGCTGAGGAGAGAAATACTCCTAGACCAACTGATTGACTGCAGAAGGAAACCTGAATGTACTGAGGAATGAGAACTTTAACAGGCTGTCTCTTGCCCTGTAGTTACCCCGAAGAGAACCACAGGTTCATCCTACTTTGGTTATCTGGCTAGGTATGAATCATGGTCCCTAAAGAAAAACGAACTTTAGTATTGTCATAATCTGACTTGGAAGAAAATGCAATGAATATCTTTCATTTTCATGGTACAAAGGAAAGTACTTCATGCCTATTTAAAAGTGTGACATGTGCATTCTGTATTCGCTCTATCCTATACCCATCATTTAAAGTTGCTCCCAAAGTAAGTCATTCGGCTTTCCAACAAGAACATTCTTTCATTTTACGGAAACTGGGAGAGATGCTTTGTCTTCTGAAGTATCTGGAGATTTCTTCCTCATTCCCAGACT